CAAAATCACCCCCCCAAAGTGATTTTTCCGAAGTCTGATTGCAGCCATTTTTCAAGTGGCAACCCTTAACTTTCTCGGGCACTTAGCACCATTTTTCAACCGTAGTTTTCAGCCCTTCTGCCCTCATATGAAAGCTCAAAGACCCAGGGAGTTGATCCTGGCGACGATTTACACAAGCTCACCATTCTGGGGGCCAAACAATCTCCTTTTTCAAAAGATACTGTAGAAGGGGGCACTTTTAATGCTAATGAGCTGGTCAGAAATTCTCACTTGAATTAGTGGTCTGCACCCCAAAATTTGATACAGTTTTCACCAGTTTTTACGAGACCAACGTTAGACAGTTACCGAGAGTAGTTTTGCCAAAGAAGTAAGCATTCATTTGACTCGTCATTTAAAGGATTTCTTGAGATTTAAGGACGAAATTTAGTATAGTGTTTAACGTTAGATTTGCATGTAGGTAGTGGAACTGTGTATATTTTGTAAGACATGAAGCCAATTTAAGTGGATATAAATACCCATATAGGTTCACGCTTTAGAACACTAAGATTGAGTAAGACTTCTGAATTACATTAGTTGTTTACTAAAGTTATATGACATACATAGCTTAGTCTTTAATTTCCGGATTTGGTAGAGTTTTCAAGTTAAAAGTGTTAGTCACGGTGAATTATTTACTTAAAAGAAAAGCTGCTTGCTTATTGGTGTGCACAATAATGAATTAGCAAAATAAAAATCTAGTTCAGAATTTTGTTGTGTACAGGACAATGTAATAATCAAGTTGTCTCTTTTGGATGTCGTCATACATTTGCTATGAATTGGACATATTATCATAAAAGCAAAACCATAGCAAAACATCCTTTGAAATAGTAAAACAAAAATTGAAAATGAAGATTAACTAAGACACGAAGGTGCAATTTGAAGTTTGTGTTAAAAAATCCAATGCAATAACGGCTTTTACATCTTTAGAACCCCGCAGACTAAAGGCCGTTCCTGATTGCGTGAACGATGCATCTCTAAAACTATTGATTTTAGCCACTTTGTCCTTATTACTAAGGTAATGCAGCCCAACTGTAAACAAAATAGTTGACCACAAACAAAGTACATCAAAACGCGGTATCGAAAAGCTTCAAAGATTGAAAACCCAAGCTAAACGGGCAAACTACTACACGCCATTAAATCTACAAAGGGCGGAATCTTGAAATTCCAATCTACAAAGGGCGGAATCTTGAAATTCCAATAGCTTGGGAAAATATCTCTAATTGTTCATACATCACTGCAATAATCTGTATCAGTACATTGTTTGTCCTGATGATTGATTTTGTATGAAAAAGAAATCATAGCCTTTTTGAGAGGATTAGGTTATTCCTATGGGAGTTTACTTTTTTCCAACTACGGCGTGATCGTTCGGTTCCATGTTTTAGGCAAAAGATTTTGAGTAGAAGACAAAAGCTGCAATGAATTCATCCGTTCATTTTCGAATACTTTGTGAAATACTCTTTAGTTTCTGCTCTGACGACAGGCCACAATCTGCCTTGAGCAGAAGTACCCCCTCATTGATAAAAAAGAGCCATTTTGGTGGGGAGTGTTCGTTTTGTTGGCAGCGATGCGACTGCAACGCTTGCTTTTCGTAGTCGTTCGTGAACCGACGATATGCTCTTTCCACAAAAGAGCCCCCGTTGCTAGGAAATTGCGCCCTCTCTTGGTCCAGCTCAGGACCCATTTGCTAACCATGCACCACCTGGCAAAAATGGCAAATTTGACGTGGCAAAAGGAAAGGTCCGTCAATGGGCCTGGACTCATGCTCGGAATCTACTCTGATTTGGTAGTTGCATTAATGAACTGAAATTTAGTGGCGGGGGAAATGCGTTCGAGAGCACCTTGAGGGCACTTGTGATACACTGTTTACTACGACTGGGCGGTAACGGCACTGCGTCTCATCTTCATTTCACACCCCTTCAGAGAGTACCGACTTCCTTTCCAGGACACCCACTGTATCCCCTAGATACAGTAGTCACCAACGTCTGGGCTACTGTGGCTACTCAAGTTGCTGTTGACCTTCCTCGTTAATAGCTTCGCCAGCACCACACTTTCAATGATCTTAGTCCATGTTTCTGAATAAAACATTATACAGACGCTATTATCATTGTGGCCGTGTCTTTTCTTCCACTCTGTATGGCCACGCACATAATTTCTCATCAGATCGGCATGTCATATTAGCAAGCACGTAATAATGATTGATGTGTGGTATCTTATACTGGATTTAGAAATGATTATTAGAAAAATCCAAATTTGAGCAAGAAAGGCTAAAACATTGTTGTGGCTGACGTTGTGGCTGATGTTATTTATTTCCTGGAGACAATGCTGATAATTGGTCGCAACGCTCTTTCTAATTACATTTGATGAAAAAAAACTAAACCAAACCAAAACACTGTTCTTCAACAGTATACTCTTAGCGAAAACGCAAAGTGAGAAAGAATGCATGAAAAAGAACAACAGAAACAAGACCTGCTACCTATTCGCCCTTTGCACGCTGCCACCCTAGGCATGCAGAGCCTCGGTCTGGTAGCTTTACACAATGATTCCCATGTATGTTGCTCAGTAATTGTGGGCATGCTGCGTTAGTTCTTCTACCATGTATCTACCATACGATTGGACAATATATCAAAGCTATGTTAACGCAATTCTGACGCAATTGTAGGTTGCTCTACATCAAATACGGGACCATAGAAACAGTGCAAAATCAGACGAAAGTAACGCCGCCTATTGTCTCTCGTGAAGAGGTTAACCTCCGTTTCTTCACCGGAAATTCAAGATTATGGCAAGAAAGGTCACTTTTCGTTTCAAGTTTCAATTTTTTTTTAATTTGCCTTTCCCCGAAGACACCTGCAAAATAGTAATAAAACTACACCCTGTATTCGCTCAGCTCTGAATGCAGCCACCCACAATTTAGTAAACCATTTATTTTAAGGGACACCACATGAAACACTCTTGTTTAGCGCGAAAGAAATTGCAGAAAATGTTGAGGGTTGAAGGATCCAAGCCTGGTTACAATGTTTACTCCCAAAACTCATAAAAACTTTGTCAAATGCAGGAAAATAACAGCTTGTAATTTCTGTCTCTTTGTACGCGGGACTCATACCTGTAATAAAGTTGGGTTTAGGTTGACTAGAAATGCGACACAAAGGGGTGAACTCACCGATTGGGGTTCGCCATGCGGGCCGCCATGTTTGCACATGATTTTATTTAGCAGGCGGGCAGAACGTGTAGTTCGTGACATGGGCGCAAACGTTTATTACAACAATACCTACGACTATAAAGGCGTGTAATTAAAAGCGACAATCGTTATTACTATACATATACATTTATATTAATGAATTTCAGGCAAAAATACTACTCAAATTTTCTAAGTACAAATAAACAAACTATTCATAAATAATTGACAAAGGTACACTACATATTCTTCACGTCTCCATAGTGCACCTCAGAACAACTACGGCGTCGATGCTTTACCTAAATATTGTGAGCACATTCTCTTAAACCACTCTGTACAGCAGAACTCTCTTAGTCTCCATGGACGTAGATGACTCTTCCAAAGTAGAAAAAATAGCGGAGTAATGATATTCGGCTTTCATTTTCACAAATTAAGAAAAACAAGCTTTCGTCCAACTAGGTTGGCAAGCAAAGTGCATTAATGATCTCATAAGTATTCATGTTTTGGGAAAATAAGTGATCATTTTTCAGCTTGTTAAACAACCACGATATGACCTTCATTTACAACTCGCATTGCAAGCAACTGTCAACAAATGAGATCAGAAAATTTCCGACCTAAATCAATCCGTCTGGCAAATACTCAGTTATAAACGTGATAAATCGAAATGTCAAAAGCTATGTTATTCGTAAGCAGTGTTAACTATATATGCTAAGCAATTTCAGTTTTATGCTTATGATACCAAAAATATGTAATGATACAGTAGAAATACAAAACCAGGTTTGGTTTATAGAATTTATCTGACTCTCAAACAAGTTAAAGTTTCGAAACAATTCAGAAAATAACAAATCTATAGGTTATACCTGTTTCTGTTTGAGTTTATTACGTGCAACTTGTAAAATTGGTGAATTTTGCTCGAAAAAATGTTTTTAGGTACAACAAATTTTATCGACAACCTAACAAATCAAGAAAATTAATATATAACATTTTCTCACATTCAATTTCAAAACTTGAACAAGATATGAATTGATAATTATAACAGGCAATCTATACTTTACTACAAGGAGACTAACACAGACGAAAAATTTGTTTTTAGTGCGTTTGTAATTTAAGAGGCCTCGAGCATCCATTATACGTGTCTAAGCTATTGTGCGGCGTTTTCCAACTTGCTATATAGCCACTACGTCATGTGCATCTTTTTGTGACGGAAATGTTAAGTAACTAACATCAGAAAATTCCCAAGAAAAAAGAATAAGGCCAGGTAAATGTTTCAATACTCTGTAATTTCGGAAACGTATATTAATTGGTTATAAAAATTTCTGTTCCAATCATTTTCTTACCAGAAAACTTCAGTCATACAATTTAAAACAACGTGTACTGATAAATCCAAGTTAGAATTCCAGTTATTGACGTTTTATGCTTGACCATCGGCACAAAGTTAAAAATACTATGAAACACAATTCTTCAGATTTTACCATACCTTAACACGTTACCAAAGGGAATTACTAACAACAAGCCAAGGCATCCACGACGGTATCCGGCGTATCAAGCGCATTTTGTATTTTTGCACAATGAAATGATTCTTTGCAAGGCATCTTAATACTGGAAGGAATAAGTTATTACTACCAATGTGAATTTCAATTGAGTTTCGGTCTTTCCTGTCCTTTAAGTAAATAAAGACTGAGAATAAGTAATCTTGCCCATGAAATCAACTTTTCTAACATGAAGCGTGCAGTTGCATAAATTTCTGCAGGAAATTTGACGGAGGATTGGGGATATGGAAAGGTGGGGGGGGTGACTTTCCCGTCCATTAAAATATGAAAAATGGGGTGAGGTTGACACCATTTGACTCTATCTAGAGGTCGGTGTTCATGATACGGATATTCATCTGTAAAATGTATTAGGAATAGCATATTCAAAAGGCTTTTTAAATCCCCCTTTTTAAAGTGTTATGGAATGCATTTTAGTCTTTGGAAGATCTGAAAAATTCTCCCCAACCCCCCTTGAGTTTTTGCTCCACCCGGGATTACGCTCATGGAAATGGGTATTTAGAAAGTTACTTGATCTAAAAATACCCCAAAATACGGTTGATTTCAGTAACGTACGTCTGACAGTATCACAAAAGATAGAAAGTAGTTAACATTTCATAGATTGCACAAACATTTCAATCAAGTATACAACTTAATAACATTCTATTCCATCCACTACATAGTAACACCAAGTTGAAATTAGACTGATAAAGGCTTAACTCAGGAGCTGATTTGGGTCAGGGTGGCTGTCCCCCCTTTGGCTCCAGCGCAAAAATTAAAAAAAAGGTGTTGTCGAAGAAAAAGAAAGCCTGGCAAACAAGGGAAAACATTTCATTGTACACACAGGATGTATGTCTCCCAACTGCGTAACTTGCTCAGCTGCAGGCAGACCCATGTCGCTGCAGCTTGAAATACAATCATGCAAGGAGGGGGAGAGAACGCCCATACCCTGGCAAAGGAAATACGAAATCTGCACTCGCTCATCTCTAACACGTTACCAGCTACAAACCATACAGATGAGACTTAGGAACATGAGTTCATAATTAAGAACGTTACAAGAACAGCCTGTCATTTAGCTCAGAAAATAAAAGCGTCAGGCAGTGCGAGCAACATGACTGATTATTCCAGCTCATTTTACTTCGACTCTCTTCCCATTTTGTAGTCATTCTTAATAAACTTATTCTACGTTAATTATGAGAATTTTTGCGCATGTAATAAAGCAACTTACTGGGACCACGTGATTGAGATGATAGTGACTGTTCTTGGTCAGGCTAGATAGTCACAACCTCTGGGATAAAATTGGTTAATATGGTAACATAAAGTAAAGTATAAATAGTAAGAATACTGAATTAATGTTTGTGTATGTGAACTGTGGAGATTATTCTTTGACTGGTATAGTAATATTTTCTTGAGGAAACACATTAATTCCATATTTTGCAGGACTTGTAATTTTATTGGAGTAAAATTTGGGACAACAAAAGACACAAAACTAGGACAGCAAAATGTAATTGAAAATTTATGTGGGACTTTGAAAACTATGATATTGCAGAGGTCTTTCTAACTTGACCATTATCTTACCAGTGTTTCAATAAACGGCCATTTTGTGCTGGAACCTACACGGAACATTCTTATTTTGCAACAAGTAGTCAGGACTCTGGCTACTTGCCAGACAATCAATATAAAGCCCCACTATTTAGAAATCAAAATCTCATCATTTCACGTGAAATACCTGCAGGCTGCCATGGATGCCCACAATTTTCCATAAATGCACGGGAAATTATAGGCACGTGAACCGCTTGCCAAAAATTTAATTAACTTGCTTTTTACATTCGTAATGACGGTGAAGTACATGTTACGGGAAACCATGACATTATTGGCTGCAGTTAATTTCCTCTTAATAGGAATTTTTCATTACTTTTGGACATGTATTCTAATGTCCAACGGGCTGTAGCTCATTTGAGGTTTGACTACTTTCACCACCCATACCACGTCCACCACTCCCACCATTTCCACCACCGTTTTAAGGCCCACATCTTATCTTCATTTCACACCCTTTCAGAGAGTAACTTTCCCCTCTCAAGGAGACCCGCTGTATCCCCTGGTAGTCACTGACATTTGGGCTGCTGTGGTACAAGCCGTTCAAGTTGCTCCCGGTTTTGTTGCTATTACATTTCTTGTACCACCAGCCCCCATGGAACATTGCAGCGCAGTTTCTACTTCCAGATTCATCGTTGTCGCAGTCCATAGTCGAGAATTCCTGCCCGTTGAGGAGTGAATCACCTACAAGAGACAAAGAGTCATCCAGTTTTTAATAAAGTCCCAGTTTATGGGGAAAACCCATGAAATCAAGACCGGTATTTTCTCTTCATTGCCACAAATTTTGTCTCTCCTCCTGCTTAAAGGCAGTGTAGACCATTTGCACAATCTCAAAAGCGGGACCGCCGGATTACCTGCATCTTTAAATGTCAGTGTCGGGCAACCTGTGAAATTTCGTATAGCACCTGCTAACGGGGGCATAAAAATGTGTGTTATGTATCTACCTGTTAGAGGAGTCTATTTTAGACCAAAAAGTCTCTGGTCAGGGGCTGGCTCCAAAAAGGGAGCCAGCCCCTTTTATTTATTTTTTGTTTATTTATTTAATTTTAATATTTCCCATTTGAAATGATGCACAAGCACATGTGCTTGTACGCACGTTTCGCCGCCAACACTGAAATAGACTGACCCCCCTCACTAGTTACTTTTAAAAGCGTTTATTTACATCCATAAAGGCCAAAAAAGCCTCCGGTTTCTGCTCAGTGTGCGCGTCGCCTAGACCTGCGCGTCTGCAAACCAAAAAAGTTTTTATTTGGTATAATAAGATGTCTAAAAGTTGCCAAACCTGCTTGATCGACTGGAATCCTGCTTTTGCGTAATTTTAACGCATTAACGCATTCAAGATGGGGTGCGGTTGAGTAAAGGAGTCCCTCTAGGCCCCATACATTTAGTCGGGCACTCTTTTTACACGTGGGAACCAGACAAACGAGGTGGTCTTATGTCCTTATGTGCACCCACAAGCTGAAAACGCTTCTAAACAGTAAATAGTGAGAGGGCCATTCTATTTCAGTGTTAGTAGCGGTGGTAAGNCATAAACAAGCGTACTTCATTTCTAGAAAAAAAGTTGGTCTCCCCGACCAAAAAAGAGCAGAGTCGCCGCACCACTTTTGAAGCCAGTCCCTAACCAGAAACCAGAGACTTCCATTTCCATTGCTGCAATATTGCCTTGTACGGTCTGTTCACCTTATATTGTAACTGAGTATTAAACCACGTGTACATGTATTTGTAAATTTAAATCAGGACTGACGTCCATTCGGCCAAAAGGCTTAATTTTGTATACTTTCAACTGGGTTTCCCATAATCGCACCCTCGGTTGTGCAACTTTATCTCTGACGTCTACCTTTGGAAAGCATATAGGGGCAATCACTGTGGATTTTTCTCGAAGAGAAAGAATTGTGCAATACCTGTAAGTGCATAAACCACTGCAAAAGAGCCACTGTGCCGGCATACCCAACCTTGTTTGTACTATGGTAAATTTGGATGTTTATACCCAACGTGGAAAATGCAGGGTAATAGGCATGATAACGTTCGCTGTGAATTTCTGCTTCCACTCCACCTTACAAATAATCCTCCTGCAATGTTGGATATTAATTTAATAGCTGAGTAGATCATGTTGAGCATTTTATCGTCAATAGTTGAGTTTGCCTGATTTTTGGAACGTTGCTGTCGGATCGCTTTGGTCTTGCACTTTGACACTTTGAAAGGGCATTTCACAATCTCAGTTTTTGACACAAAAGAAATTAAGGCGGAATGAGAAGAATGTTCAGACTTGGGGTATTCAATAGCACTCAAACAAGGAGACCAATAAAAAAAACCATAAATATGCCGTTGTCATGTAAGAATCTGGGAAAACTTGGCCTTTGAGATTCGAGTCATGGACATCCTCCATACTGTTTCTTTCCTTTACCCATTACGCTACGCAAGACGGCGGAACCGGCTTTTCTCCTTTCTTTTAGCCCGTCACCCTGCGTAAAGGCGGCTTTCCGTATATGTACTTTGTTGGGTAGCCTACGATGCGTTCATGTGTTTCACTTTCACGGACAAAAAAATCGCCTCCACTGCAACACCCGTGGACGTTGTGTTGGCGCAAGTGTTACGTGCATCTGGAAAGGCGGCTTAATGCTGCTGAATCTATTACTTGAGACAGCTGCCAATCGTTTCGTATTGACGGCAAGTTTCACACAGTGTCATTTCGGATTAAAAGCCTGGATTACAAACAGCGGAGGGTAATCGTGTATGGACTAGCCTTAAGTGTTCTTTTAGCAGCTTTTATTTTTGTTATTTGTGTTCGCGTGAAAAATGAAGCTGGTGAAGAGCAAAGGTAGCGAGGCATCGTTCGTGCGATTGGGTAAATATCAGGAAAATTAGGTTCACATCGTCCAAAATGTAATAAGTAATACTGTTGAGTTCAGTTATTTTAAAAGAGGTAGAAATTGATAATGCACGCATGGAAAACGCAAGCTAAAGTTTGGCTAAGGTTTGTACGCAAACATTCAAGTGCCGACGCGCGCTATGAAGCACGTTTGTCACTTGAGTACAGCCTCATTATTAATTCCTTTGCTGATTTTGGTAAGTAGTTTATATTGCAATTAAACCTTTAAATGAAATATACAGCTGCTTACAAAATGTTCACACTTCGAAACCTCAATTCAATGGGGGAGGGGGTAGTCTGGGTAAATACCATGTTACAGCCCGAACATTCTAACTTTAACTGTCCGTGTAGTTTGGAGAATTTTTTAAGAAAGCAGTGTAGTTAGACCAGGCGTAATTATGAGGTCGTTGTAGAAGAAAAATGGGCTAAAGGGAAGGTTGCATCATATGGTGCACTTCTTAAGGGAGCTGTTACATACCTGCATGTCCTGCATCTGTATGGAGACTGCCTACGTCAAGCTTGTACTTTTCACCCACTGACTCTATTTTAAAGTCCTCATAACGAACCGTGGCATTCTGTCCATCGAACGCCCTCAGAGTAATGACCAGCTCCCATTTGCCAGTACGAGTCAGATCATACAGCTTCTCGTTGCCCAGCCAGAACTCCCCGGTCAGATCGCCGAAACCCTCGGCGTACTCCTGCCAAGTGCGGTTGAAGCTAACGGAACCATTGATGCGTCGTTGAAACACCTGCGAGTGCGGAAGAGTTGCGAAAAGGTCATGANGGGTAATAGGCATGATAACGTTCGCTGTGAATTTCTGCTTCCACTCCACTTTACAAATAATCCTCCTGCAATGTTGGATATTAATTTAATAGCTGAGTAGATCATGTTGAGCATTTTATCGTCAATAGTTGAGTTTGCCTGATTTTTGGAACGTTGCTATCGGATCGCTTTGGTCTTGCACTTTGACACTTTGAAAGGGCATTTCACAATCTCAGTTTTTGACACAAAAGAAATTAAGGCGGATGAAAAGAATTTTCAGACTTGGGGTATTCAATAGCACTCAAACAAGGAGACCAGTTAAAAAAACCACACAAATATGCCATTGTCAGGTGAGAATCTGCGGGATATACCGTACTGCTATAAGGTGGAAAAACTTTCCCTCTTAGATTCGAGTCATGGATATCCTCCATGCTGTTTCTTTCCTTTACCCATTACGCTACGCAAGACGGCGGAACCGGCTTTTTTCCTTTATTTTAGCCCGTCACCCTGCGTGAAGGCGGCCTTCCTTATATGTACTTTGTTGGGTAGCCTACGATGCGTTCATGTGTTTCACTTTCACGGACAAAAAAATCGCCTCCACTGCAACACCCGTGGACGTTGTGTTGGCGCAAGTGTTGGGCGCATCTGGAAAGGCGGCTTAATGCTGTTGAATCTGTTACTTGAGGCAGCTACCAATCGTTTCGTATTGACGGCAGGTTTCACACTGTCATTTCGGAGTAAAAGCCTGGATTACAAACAGCGGAGGGTACTCGTGTATGGACTAGCCTTAAGTGTTCTTTTAGCAGCTTTTATTTTTGTTATTTGTGTTAGCGTGAAAAATGAAGCTGGTGAAGAGCGAAGGTAGCGAGGCATCGTTCGTGCGATTGGGTAAATATCAGGAAAATTAGGTTCACATCGTGCAAAATGTAATAAGTAATACTGTTGAGTTCAGTTATTTTAAAAGAGGTAGAAATTGATAATGCGCGCACGGAAAACGTAAGCTAAAGTTGCGCTAACATTCAAGTGCCAATGCGCGCTATGAAGCACGTTTGGCAATTGATAGAGCTTCATCATTAATTCCTTTGCTGATTTTGGTAAGTAGTTTATATTGCAATTAAAACTTTAAATGAAATATACAGCTGGTTACAAAATGTTCACACTTCGAAACCTCGATTCATATTTATGGGGGGAGGGGGTAGTTTGGGAAAATACCATGTTACAGCCCGAACATTCTAACTTTAACTGTCCGTGTAGTTTGGGAAATTTTATAAGAAAGCAGTGTAGTTAGACCAGGCGTAATTATGAGATCGTTGTAGAAGAAAAATGAGCTAAAGGGAAGGTTGCATCATATGGTGCACCTCTTAAGGGAGCTGTAACATACCTGCATGTCCTGCAACTGTTTGGAAACCGCCGACATCAAGCTTGTACTTTTCATCCATTGACTTTATTTTAAAGTCCCCATAACAAACTGTGGCATTCTGTCCATCGAACGCCCTCAGAGTAATGACCAGCTCCCATGAGCCATTACGAGTCAGATCATGCAGCTTCTCGCTACCCAGCCAGAACTCCCCGGTCAGATCGCCGAAACCCTCGGCGTACTCCTGCCAAG